GGGGGGTGGGGGGGCTGTTATTAGATGACAGGTGACAATAACTGCAAGATGCACGTATGAGGAACGTGAATGGGAAAAGGCTCGAGCCACGTGCAGACTTTGTAATACAAAATAAGGAGGTGCCTAATCTCTGTGTTGGGTCATTTCACCTACTGCTACTTTTCTCACTTCCTATCTAACTTGTCTACATTTCTGAGTTCTTTCTGGCTCAGCATTCCTTACCTCATGAAAACAACTGCAACTTCAGCTTTTCTGGGCTAAAAACCTTTTCCCCTTTCTTTGATAACAATTTACCAGGGTAAATGGTAATGTATTATTTTCTCCATATGTTTCATACATATGGTCTACATATATTTTCCACACAGAAAAGGTAGCCAAGGATGAACCTTTGTGTTTCAAGAAAAAGAAGCAGCACCTGCATAACGTGTGGCTGCTTCATCATGGTAAAATAGGATTTTTTTTTTAATTATTCCTAAATGGTCCAGGAATAATTTTGGTTCAGGGCAGGTTAAAGCTGCAGCCGTTAACTACCTCTATGAAACATAGATAGCCCTTATTAGGGATATGGACCGTGAAACTGGTCGTGGCGAGAGAGGTGGTAAATGTTGCCAAGAAAGAATCGTCATAGAGTGGAAAGAGAAGACTCTTGGAAATTTTAATATTATTACCCAACAAAGACTTAGGTTACCTTTTAATGCATGCCACCTCATGTGCTGCAGGAGCTCTCTCATAGTGCCCAGATTAACAACAAAGATGCAAAAGATCATCAAATGTCCACTTGCAAGGCTGCACTGTACTTCACAGGAAAGCATCTTTCATATGGAAACAGCAATTTACGGAAATTAAAAGCTAGCAGTTCATGAGAGTTTCACTGTAGCAAGACATTAAATGAGAGCTTCCACTCAGTGCTGCTCATTTTAAAGGTAGATTCCATTCAAGTAGATAGGACTGTTGTTATACAAGCACATCTAGTGACGCAGCAGATGAGAAATTCTTTCCAAAGCGACGCCAGTGGGCTTCAATTTCCTTGGCCAGATAAGCACAATATTCCTTTTATTTTGGCTAAATACCATCATCCTGTAGAACAGGCTAATGACATTTATTATCCAGCTCAATAGCTAATCACCTTAGCAGTTCTTTTTTTAATAACACCAGGTGTTGTGAGTAGCATGCAAATCAAATGAAAAGTGAAACATAAGACAAATGAACCAAATCCCGTATACTGCAGGTGCAGAGGGATACGGCCAGAACTGTAGAACAGTAAAGGACAGAAGCAAATACGAGCAAATGCAGAAGGAGGGAGAGGAAGAAACCAGCTGCATCATGGAGCTGAATTAGTTGTAAAACACAAAGGAATGAAGTCATGAGGAGAATGAAATTATCACAAGGACAATGCACTGCCAGCTACAGGTAGCTGGCATATAGTGATGGGATCCCAACACCTCTGTCTTCGTGAAAGAGACGTGTTAGCCACTGCACACCACCAATTCTTGCTGCTCCGTGCGGAAACCGAGCAGGTTTCTCAATGTATATGAAAGAGAAAACCAGTTGCATTTCGGTATGATGACGTGGCAGACCTAGGCTAGGGTAAAATGTATTGATGTATGTGTAGTAATAATAATAATGTTTATTATTACAGCAACCAACTGTAGCTTGGTTGTACATTTAAAAATTGAAGTTACTCCTCTTCAACTATAGCCTAGATCTAAGATTAGAGCTAAAAAAGCATTGCTTTTAGATGACGTTATATTGTTCTAAAAGAAGATCAAGTTCCTACATAAAATACTACAGCAGTTTCACCATGGATTTTGAGAACCCCCTTGAAAATAAGCAGTAACAATGAAGTCGCTGACAAATCGCAACACGTGAAGTTTTGCTCTTAAGACCGTCTCTTAAATTGACATACAGAATGTTTTGCACAAAGAAGCCTTTTATCATCTTTGCTACGTCTGCTGAATTCTTTTATGATAACTTACATGCTGCATGAATTATTTTGCTTTGATTATTAAAAAGTAGTCGGTGGTAGAAAATTTAATTTATTTCCTCACAATAAATAACAAAGCTTAGAGCGGTAGGAGATGGAGTCACTGTGTGTTACAATTTAAGATACCATTCTGATTAAACCAGTTAATTAAACCTATTCTCATTTCGTATGTACCTTCACATGAAGTCTAACATTTACATTTTACTGCTTTCATTTTCATAAATAAACATTATGCCATATAGCAGGCTAACAAACAGAAAGCCTGTTCTTTGATACTGACAGTCACACTGAGTTGCGTCTTGAATGCTGTTAGGTGTGTTAGCTGGAAAAAAGTGGTACTAGCTCATAAATTATCC